AGCAGTGGCAAGGATGTGGAAAAAGGGGAATCTTTGCACACTGTTGATGGAAATGTGCCTTGTTATATGGCCATTATGGAAAACCGTATGGGGGTCCTCTAAAAAATTAAAAACAGACCTACCATATGGTCCAGCAACCTTATTTCTGGGTATATATCTAAAGGAAATGAAATCAGCATCTCAGAGATATTTGCACACCCATTTTCAATTGCAGCATTATTCATAATATCAAAGATCTGGAACAACCTGTCTGTTGATGGATGAATAGATAAAGAAAATGTGGTATATACTCACAATGGAATAGTCATAAAAAAGAAATCCTGTCATTTGTGACAACATGGATGAAATGGGAGGACATTATGCTCAGTAAAATAAGCCAGAGACTGTAAGGCAAGTATTTTTTTTTTTTTTATTTCAATTGTATGTGGAATCCAAAAAAGTCAAATCCATGGAACCTGAGAGTAGAATGGTGGTTGCCACCAGAGGGAGATGGGGGAAATGGGGAGATGTTGGATTTTAAGTGTTCTCCCCACACACACATACACACAAAATGGTAAGTATGTGAGGGGATAGATGTGTTAATTAACTCAATTGTGGTAATCATTTCACATTGTATATTAAATCATCACATTGTACACCTACAAAAATCACATTTTATAAACTAAAAATATACAATTTTTATTTTCTAATCATACGTAATAAGACTAGAAAATAATATGAAAAGAAGAAACTCAGACTTACAGAATGTGTGATATAAAGGCACCCACCTGTATGTCAATGTCAAAGCCAATTTCACGAAGTACATTCACAATGATCAGGCAGTTGTGCAGATACTGTTCAGAACTTTTTGGTTGTGTATACATATTTATAAGATGTGACTCAATCTTGAAAAGACAACAATCAAATCTTTAGTAATAGAATAAAAATTACTGCTTTTTAACTGTTCTCTTTAGTTTAGCAAAGAATCATTTATTTTTTTATTTTTTAAAAGATTTTTAAGATTTTTGAGAGAGAGAGACAGAGTGCAAGTGGGGGAGAAGGAGAGGGGGAGAGAGAGAGAGAGAGAGAGACAGAGACAGAGACAGAGACAGAATCTGAAACAGACTCCAGGCTCTGAGCTATCAGCCCAGAGCCCGATGTAGGGCTTTAACCCATGGACTGTGTTATCATGACTTGAGCTGAAGTCGGATGCTTAAATGACTGAGCCACCTAGGTGCCCCTAGCAAAGAATCATTTAAATATTAACATCTAGAAGTAGATTATCACAATCAAAATAATAGAATAAACAAAAATAGAATGCTAGCCATTCATATTCAGGTGTGACTTTTTAAATGTTTAAAAAACATTTAAAAGAATCAGCTTATAGACAATACTTTGAATTTTAATTACTAAGTTCTTTCAAATAATAAATACCATTCTGCATAAAAATGACTCTTACCAAAAATGGACAGTAGGCTCCCAACTGTGTTGCAAAAACAAGGCCATCTAAAAGGTCCTGGTCAAAATTTACTATCCATCTCTCAGAGGGAATAACTCCTGTCACAAAAAAGAAAGAGAGTAAATATAACATTAGTTTTGCTTTTCTAGAAAGATAACTTATGGTACTGTCTAAATGTATTCTGATCTTATCACTGTATAATGCAGAATATATTTAAAATTGACAGACATTACAGAAAAAAATGCTTTCAAAATCATTCACACTATGGAGATATTTAGTGGACAGTTCAAACATAAAGGAAAAGAGAACATGTGCCTGGCTTTATTTCTCTGGTTTTCAAGGAATCACAGTCCTTGAGAGATTTTCTTCCAAAGTGACACACAAAAGAAGAGGGAAATAATCTGGAATTTTCTATTCCTTCAAAAGGAAAATGGACTGATGAAAAAAAGAAAAATGGGAAAAGTGGGGGGAAAAAGCGTAAGTGCTATCTTATTAAAATTTGAGCAACAGTAAGAAAAATTGCCTTTGCTTGAGAAAGAAAAAAATACTATTTTGCAAATAAAGGCAAAATATAAAACTCAGAAGCTTAATACATGAAATATATCTGTAGGGTTTTATAAGCAACTGAAAACTGGTTTCTTCATTTTTATTTTGTTGTTTTTTATTTTTTAGATATGGAGACAGAGCTAGCAGGGGAGAGGGGCAGAGGAAGAGAGACAGAGAGAGAGAATCTTAAGCAGGCTCTACACTCAGCATGGAGACCAACGTGGGGCTCAATCCCATGACGCTGGGATCATAACTTGAGCTGAAATCAAGAGTTAGATGCTCAACTGACTGTGCCACTCAGGCACCCCGGTCCCTTTATTTCTAATTGAAGAACTCTGAAGAATATATTACCATGCAGCAATGGAAGAACATTCCAGTATTTCAACATTAGTCATTCTCTTGAGTACCCTAGCATTCAAATGTTTGATCAATGATCATCAACATGGGGAAGGCAACTCAGAAGGCATGAAGTTTCCTGTAACTCTAAAGTTTAGGTGCCAGTTTCCCTAACTGTTGAAGAAATTAATCCAGATTTGGTAGTATGTGGAAAGGGCTGGAGATTTATGGCTTAAAGAAACCAGAATTTATCTATAAAAGTTAATAGAAGATGGAGGGGTAATAAAAGGAATGGGTCAGTTATAGAGATGACTGCTACACTGAGACTAAAACCAAAGTGAAAATATCTAGATATGTGGTAAATATCTTAAAGATTGTCCTATATTAGGGAGGAAAAAAGGGTTACATAAACATCAGAAAGTTTTGCTATGTTGAATGAGACATTGCCTTTTTTCTAAAAAGTTTCCAAAAGGTACTGGACAAACTAGACATTAAAACAAAGAATGTAACAAGAGACAAATAAGGATACTATATAAGAATAAGGGAAGCAATAAAAAAAATAAAACAATTGTAAATATTTATGCACCCAACACAAAAGCACCCAAATACATAAAACAGTTTAATAATAAACATAAAGGAATGGATCAAGAATACAATAATAGTAAGGGACTTTAGTACTCCACTTATATCAATGAATACATCATTGTGTTACATAGGTTACAAGAGTAGCTCAATATTTGCAAATCAATATGATACATCACATCAATAAGATAAAGGATAAGAACCATATGATCATTTCAATAAATGCAGAAAAAGCATTTGACAAAGAACAATATCCATTCATGATAAAACTCTTAACAAAACAGGTTTAGAGGAAACATACCTCAACCTAATAGAGGCCATCTTTGAAAAACGCACTGCTAACATGATCCTTAAAAGGGAAACACTGAGAACTTTTCCTCTATGGATGAGAACAAGACAGCTATATCCACTCTCACTACTTCTCTTTTAAAAAAAATGTTTATTTATTTATTTTTGAGGGGAGCACACATGTAGGGGAGGGGCAGAGAGAGAAGGAGAGAGAATCCCAAGCAGGCTCCACACTGTCAGCACAGAGCCTGACACAGGGCTAATTTCAAGAACCATGAGATCAGGACCTGAGATGAAATGAAGAGTTGGATGCTTAACCAAATGAGCCACCCAGGAGCCCCACTCTAACTAGTTCTATCCCATAGTACTGTAAGTCCTAGCCACAGCAATGGGACAACAAAAACAAATAAAAAGCATCCAAATCAGTAAGGAAGATGTTAAACTTTCACTATTTGCAGATGACATGATACTATATATAGAAAACCCAAAAGACTCCATGAAAAAAAACAGCTAGAATTCATAAATGAATTCAGTTAAGTTGCAGGACATAAAATCAATCTACATAAATATGTTGCATTTCTATACACCAATAATGAAGCAGCAGAAAGAGAAATTAAGGAATCAGCCTTATTTACAAGTACACAAAAACCAGTAAGATACCTATGAAGAAGTCTATCCAAAGAGGTGAAAGGCCTATACTATAAAATAGTGATGAAAGATATTGAAGATGACATTAGGAAATGGAAAGACATTCCATGCTCAAGGATTGGAAGTAAAAATATTATTAAGATGTCTATACTATCCAAAGTAATCTACACATTCAAATCAATCCTAATGAACATACCAACAGCATTGATCACAGCACTAGAAAAAACAATCCTAAAATTTGTATGGAACCACAAAAGACCCCAAATAGCCAAAGCAACCTTGAAAAAGAATAGCACATCTAGAGGCATCACAATTCTGGACTTCAAGTTATATTACAAAGCAGTAGTGATCAAAACAGTATGGTATGAGCACACACACACAAAAAAGATACATATATCAAAAGAACAAAATAGGAAATCCAGAAATAAACCTACAACTGTTTGGTCAAGTAATCTTTGACCAAGCAGAAAAGAACATCTAATGAGAAAAGGATAGTTTCTTCAACAAATGGTGCTGGGAAAACTGGACAGCAACATGGAAAAGAAAGAAACTGGACTACTTTCTTATACCATACACAAAAATAAATTCAAAATGGATGAAAGACTTTAATGTGAGACTTGAAACCATAAAAACCCTCGAAGAGAACACAGGCAGTAACCTCTTTGACATTGGCCATAGCAACTTTTTCCTAGATATGTCTCCTGAGGCAAGGGAAACAAAAGCAAAAACAAACTTGGGACTGCATCAAAATAAAAAACTTTCTGCACAGCAAAGGAAAGAATAAACAAAACTAAAAGGCAGCCTACAGAATGGGAGAAAATATGTGCAAATGATAACCGGAAAGGATTAGTATCTAAAATATATAAAGAACATATACAACTCAACACCCAAAAACTAATTCAATTAAAAATGGGCAGAAGACATAATAGATATTTCTCAAAAGAAGACATACAGATGGCCAAAAGACATATGAAAAGATGTTCATCATCACTTACCATGAGGGAAATACAATCAAAATTACAATGAAGTATCACCTTACACCTGTTAGAATGGCTAAAATCACACAACACAAGAAACAGTAGGTGTTGGCAATAGTGTGGAAAAAAAAGAACCCTCGTGCATTATTGGTGGGAACGCAAACTGGGGCGGCCACTGTGGAAAACAACATGGAGGTCCCTCAAAGAGTTAAAAATCGGACTACCCTATGATCCAGTAATGGCACTACTGAGTATTTACCCAAAGAATACTAAAACAATAATTCAAAGTGATGCATGCACCCCTACATTTATAGCAGCTTTATTTGCAATAGACAAGATACGGAAGCAGTCCAAGTGTTCACCAACTGATGAATGTATAAAGATGCGATATATACAATATTACCCAGCCTAAAATAAGAATGAAATCTTGCCATTTGCAACACTGTGGATGGAGTTAGTGAGTATTATGCTGAGCAAAATGGGTCAGAGAGGATTGGTTGCCATGTAATTTCATTCATGTGTAGAATGTGAAAAACAAAACAAATGAGCAAAGAGAAAAGAGAGAGAGAGAGAGAAACCAAGAGACAGACTCTTGATTACAGAGAACAAATTGGTGGTTGCTGGGGGAGTGAGGGTGGGGAGGTAGGTTGAGTAGTTGATGGGGATTAAGGAGTGCACTTGTCTTGATGAGCACCAGGTGATGTACTTAGTTGTTGAATCACTATGTTGTACATCTGAAGCTAGTATAGCACTGTATATTAACTAATTGGGATTAAAATTAAGAACTTGAAAAGAAAACAAAAGCAACAAACAAGTATTCCAAATGGCTTAAATTCTTAAAGGTCTGAGATGATGTCTTATCTGAAATCAAGGGGAAACACTGGCAGTCTTCACAAATACCCTCAAATTCCTTGACTCTCACTTTCTGTGAAGAAGAAACTATGGTAAGATATGTTCATGATATGTATATTAACTTCACAAAACAAGATTGCTTTACATCTGGAACTGGAAGACAGATTTGCCAGGAGCAACAGATGTCCTAGATACTTCACAAAAACAGTGCCTGGTATGTTTTCATCTGAGATGCTACAACATTAAACAGTTGGTCAATTGGAGTTCTATAGTATATTATTGCAAAATCAGTCTATCAAACAAAGATCACTAGAAATTTTCAACTAGTACATAGCAAACAACATTTTCTGTTATATATTTCAAAGTATTTTTTCCTGATAAAAACCTATAAATAACTGTGTATCTGATATAAGATGTGAGACAAGGTAATGAGTTTAAAATGCTCATTTCTGGTTGACTGAATATTTATAACCTAAATGTGCTTCTCTTAATGTATATGGACCACCTATGGCTTTTAATAAAAGCAAAGGGTCTCATTTTTTAAAAATTGTAAGCAATTCTAACTTTAATCTGAAAAAGACAATTTACTAGGCTTTCAAGTTGATAGTGAATCAGTCATGAAGTATTTGATATGGACCATGTCCTCTAAATATCCCAATGTCATCTTGTATCAATATTAGAGAAGAGACAGAAATTACTCTAAAGGGATTTAACATCTTGTTGAGGATAGATCACACCCATAACAGGAAGACAACTTATGAAAAATCTCCTAACTAGAAGCCAATAAATAGATTACAATATAGCAAAAACTGTTACACTGTTACTTCCAACTCCACCAACTGCAATCAGCACCAAAGGACTCATTATGA